CGCTCTAGCCCTCGCCCCCTTACACGTTCTAGACAAGTAAGGGCGCATTCCGCGCGGATTCTACTGACGAGGATCACTTGGACAAGTGCCTCTCACTGATTGCGCCTCCTTTCCATGGGGATTAGTAGCATGGGCGCACCAATGAGGAAAAAACCAACTGTCTGATTAACCCCGCCCATACCAACAGCGCAAAAAGCTGTTCAACGTTGTTAAAAAAGATATAGTGGGAAAAGGCGAGCAGCGCGTTGGGTGACCAATTTATCAGAACAGTGCTTTTCATTGACAAGTCCGCACAGAAGAGAGAAAAGGTTTTTGGGCACATTGAGCCTCGGGAAGATCTAATTCGCACTTTTCCATTGACTCGGTAGACTGCAATTTTTAACGGAGCATGGGGGAAGAGTCACTAAGCGTGCGAGGGCGCGAGGTCACAGTAATCATTCTTTCATCCGAAGCCTTCCCTTAAAAATTCGCAAGCTAGCGTAGTCGTAATGGGACATTGCAAACATGCTTTCCTACAGAACCTTAGAAACAAAATCTTTACAGAATCCAAACTTTTCCCTTACCGACTGATGAGATCCTTGGGTGTCTCTTTCACAAGCGTATTGAAAACTTCTCTCAGTAGATTATGTGGCCACTTGGAGCGGTCCGCAATTACTGCTGCTTCCACATTCTTGAAATAGTAAAATGTTATTATGAGGTAGAACAAGCCGCAGATCCTACAGCTAACTCACATTATCCGCAAAAACTCCACGCATCTTCTTCTGGAACAAATCTGTTGGTCGATCAATGTCAAGCGCCGCTGTCGTGGCCGGGACACCATTCTTTCGCTCCATAGAATGTTTAATTTGGGCCTAAACTAGTCGATTACTACGCACATAAGAATAACAGATGGGGTCTTAAGCAGTAACCTGTCTCAGCTGCCACTTTCTATAAATGTGGAACATCGGTGTTGCACCACCAACCCATTGAATTAGTCCTGATCTTGTCCCAAGAGGAGTCACGGCGTAATGGCGAGCACAATACGGAGGCCAACTTCTGTAATTAGCACCAATAATATCAAAACATAGTTTTTTTTGAAAAAAAAAGGTACTAAAAACATGGATCACCCAAAAAGGCGCCGGTGCTGCACTGGTCGTTACCTGCGCAGAGCAAGGTCATGTGCCACCTAACACGCTAATGACGCGAGAACCTATACAGCCCGCAGTCGATGACGTCTTAAGATACGTCATGAATGCCTCGCGTGACGTCATCTATTTTTCAAGGACAACCTCTTCACATACCCCATAAATCCTGGTCCTTGCCATTTGCTAAGTGAATGGATCCGTAGTTGCAGTTGCGTGGCACCTTCTACGCTCAAAAGTGGATAGCAACAGGGACAAGGTGCCTGGGTGCTACTACTGACTCCTTCCCTAGGCAGAACATGAAGGCTTGATTTTAGGCCCACCCAGGCGCTATGTCTCCTCATTTTTGCGCCTATTCATTTCCTATACCTTCTCAGTTTTCCACTCTCCGTGTTCCTCTGGAACTGGAACACTGAGATTGATTCTAATCCCACCACAACCGCGGTATGTCTCCCCCATTTAACCCACGCACTTGAGTCAATTACAAAGCCGTCCGCCTCAGTGACAACACACACTCGCCAGTAGAGGACATATAGGAGTGAGAGGGGGAGACAGTTATCCCCTGATTAATGGTTAGGTTGTCGTGGGCAGCAGCGGCGGGGTCGGGAGATTGCTTACAGGGCATCGCAGACCCTTCAGCTCGTTCCCGTGTCCTTGTGCGGCGGAAGAAAGTCGACGTAATTGCGCGCCTGCAGCTGCAGTTGCGGACCTATTCACCCCCTTTGGTAACGGACGGGATCCACGTAGGTGAATTTACAGCTTGTCTTCAGCAGGTAATGTAGTGGATCGCTTCCTTGCGCTACGCCTGCTTCTGGGAAGTTTTAAAGGGAACATGGAAAAAACGACAAACATACTCAGGAAATGGTAACCTACCGACTTGATGAATTACCAGCAAGCATAAGATTACAAATATGCAACAACTGCATAATTCGCTCATCCAGATGAAGATCTTCTTGGCCTTTAAACAGGAACATATGCCTGAAAATATGTTCCTTAACAAAATATTCGGGAATTCCTGGTAGCTGAGCCGACTTACTCTTTTCCCTCGCTGCCAATGAACGCTATCTTCTTCGGCCTGGTCTTTGTTGGTAACACAAGAGCGTTCTTTACTACGCGGTCAATCGTCACTACTTCACTGAACTCGATATTCTCTTGGCCAGGAATCGGAATGTTGCTCTTGGACAGCTATAAAAATTTTGTTACTAAGCTGTATCATTGGAAACACTGAAATCACTGTTGACATCTCTTTTCCCTACTTGGAAATTTGGCCCCCATTACCCTTAAGATTTGCTTCTAGGGAAAGGATCGACCAGAAACTTCCCCTGGAGGTAGCCTGCTCTCATGAACACGAATATCGTGAGCGTGGGGAATGAAAACGCTTAGCGTACGCGTGAGGAATGAAAACGCTGCGGAAGCCGGATCGGAGCCTGTAATGCGGACCGCGAACGTTTCCGCGCTAAACGAATGTGACGTTCTTGTTCTATGAAGAAAACTTTTTCTGCAGGTAAGTTGCCAGGAAATCTAGCGAGGTGTTCGCA